TAATAGGTCTGTTTTGGGTATGGGCTTGGATGAAATCACGTCCAGAGGTCCCTTCCAAAACAAGTTCTCTGTGCTTCTCTGCGGTGATCTGCGAGGTTGTGTGGGAAATAAATGGGGCTAGATGACTTATGAGAAAGAGAGACATAGATGAGTTATGAGAAACAATATAAAGATGAAATATATTCAGCCTACTGCTGTATCCATCTTCTTTGAAAGATGTTTACATCTCCCAGCTCTTGGAATTGGACTCTGATGACCTGAGCTGCATGCAGACCTCCCTAATACCACAGGCTCAACTGAACCAACGAAATTGAAACGTGCAAATTCGTTGGGGAGGAAAGATGAAACTTAGTGCTAGCTATGCTACAATTGCCTCAAAGAGTAATGTTCTTTGTTTGTAAGACTAGTACTTTCATTGGAGTATTTTTTGTTTATTATAAGCTTTACGTTTTTAGTGTTTTAGTTATTTAGATGTCAGTGTTCAGATGTCAGACACCTCTCCTGTAATAAAAGTCGAGGGAGTTGGGACTGTTTAGCTTGAGGAAGAGAAGGCTCCAGGAAGACCTCATTGCGATCTTCCAGTACTTGAAAGGAACTTACAAGCAGGAAGGGCACCAACTTTTTACAAAGATAGTGGCAAGCACAACAAATGTTGGACTGTGGGCAACATTTTCCTAGCAACAGTGCAGTCACAGCAGCTGTGAACAGTGGGTCACCTCCACTACTGCAGTTTTTTATGTGCATGGTATACAGGCTCCTGTTCATTGCTGGTGAAAATGCATACCTAATGATGGCTGTAACTATGTTTAAAAAAAAATGTGTTTTGTAGCTGAGAATGTGCTCTATTGAATAGTGTTATTGTGCTCTTTGTATCCATTGTAGTCTCCATGGAAACAAAAGGGACACATTACTTTTGGAGCACCTTATGTACTTAAGAGTGGGATTCACAAGGAGCAGGTACTGTTCTGGGTTTGTTAAAGAAAAGTATTGATTAATGATGTTGTTATGTATGATGAACTCTCTGCTATGAATTTACAATATGTGATGAAAGTATAGGCAAAATCAGGGGAGTAAACAAACTGAACTGAGTTGTCATATGATAGACGTACTTGTTATGATGTTGGCACTCTATTATGAATTAAGCTTGATGATTATGAAGTGACTTTAGTTGTGCGGAGATTTGAACAAGGGGATAAAAATCTAGAATGATATGGCAAAAGAAAAAGATAAAAGGATACAGGTAGAAGAAGTAAGCTGGGGCAGGAGGTAACTGAGGGAAAAAAATCTAGAAGGTACAGAGCACAAACCCTGTTGAAATACAAAATGAGGATAAGTACAGATTATAATACTGTGGCAATATATGAATCTGAAAGTGAGGCTATGGAGATAAAAGGCAATGAAGGAGAAAGTAATAAAATATCAAATGTATTAGGGTTTGCATATATATGTATTTTTCAGGAAATTTTTGAGATGTGATAAATGTGGATCATCAGGTGGGAAATAAATAATAATACCTTTAACTGCAGTTCTTCCTGAGTAGCAACAGAGAAGTTGACGTATCTAAAATTCTCTTAGACTGCATAGAGCTAAAAAAGGTAGCTCTCTGTGTATTGTTCTAAGCAGACTATCCCTTTGTACAACCATTGCAATTTCTCTATATTCTATAGCTTGAAGGGGAGCCTAAAGTATTTTGTAGGGCTCAGTATTTTCAATTTAGCTCAGTAAAGATTTTCTGAATAATATTGTTTCAGGAAAATGGATTAGGAACTGCTCAGCAGCTAATAAAGGTGATAGATTTCTTTAAAGGAGGTTGTAAACGTTATGTATTAGTTGAACATCCAACTGTACTTTCTGTAGTTTGAAAGCTTGCTTTGAAAGATATGATAATTTCTAACAGCAGTGGACTGCAAAATGTTCCAATAAATTTGTAATAATCGTAGGTCATCTGTACAGATTGATCTGACTTATTTATATTTTTCCAGCACCTCTTTTTGTCTGTCAATTGGCCTCTTTCAGACAAAAATGGTATTCATGCTTCTCTGGTCCCAAACAAATGATTCTGTCACATTTATTTTTGGTATTTTTTCTCCAAAATAGCCAAAGAGTTTGCTTCTATGTGAAACTAAATGGTGCTAATCTGTCTGATTAGACAGCCTGCTATCCAGACCAGTTTGATTGGATGAGATACAAAGGGTACTGTGGTGGAGAAACATCATTTTGTCTCCTTCACAGCTGCTACACATGATTATTCAGACTCTTTATGCCACAGATGAAAAACCTAACCAGAAACAGATGGGGATTAAATATTTTTAGAAACAGTATTGCAAAGTATTAACAAGAGGAAGAGAAAAAGTTTGCAACTTTGGAGCCTAACGAATTTTTGAACCTGCTTGTTAAAGCATATTCAGTATTGTTTGTATAAATATTGTAATTCTTTCTTGTGGACAGAACCAGTGTAAAATGCAAATTTTTCAGATCCAGCACAAGCTGCTCTAAAACAATATTTTAAAGTAACGTACAGGTCACAAATCACTCGTTTAAAGTTTCTTATCTTTTCTGATTATTTTAATTTTGTATAATTTCGTCATCATGTAATTGTCTTCAGTGTCAGATGCTAGAAAAACAGAAAATTTGGACTCTCAGATCTAAGAAGGCTTTTTGACAAGCTTGAAATACATTTAGTGACATCCTAAACATCTTCATGATTAACTCTTTAGTTAGGTCTGTTCAGTTATCATAGTTTTCCTGCTAGAGGAAATGATTCTTCTCCTCTGAATTACAGCGTCAAAAAATGATCAATTCTGCTTTTCAACTGTGTTTTTGATAAGGACATTTTAATGAAGAATTAATCCTTCAGTTTTCTAGAATATAAAACCTGCATGTGTGATAAGGGTAAATGTCTTTTATCTCTTTATAAAAGCAAGCCAATGATGCAGAGTTGTCAAATGTACTAAGCAGAAAAGTCCTGATTCTCTAGCGCAGGATGAAGAAACCTCAAATGTGTCAGGGTTGAATACTGCTCTAGTCCTCTGAGGGCCACTTCAGGGTCTTGAGCTTCCATTCTAGAATTCCAATATGGATGCAGGTGGAGTTTATCCAAATCCTAGTTAGTGAGTATTTCATTATGTCCTATGGGAAGTAAATCATTACAGTATGATCTGAGAAAAAAAAAAAATTCTTAAATGGTTTCATAGGTTTTTTGAACCTATCACACGTTAACTGAATATAAAATATTTGACAAGGAGAATGTATTATTTTTTGATGAAGTACTGAAGTCCTCACCCATTTTTAACTCCCAGACAATTGCTGACACTGACTGATAGATTTCTTGTGTTCAAGAACTGTGAAGTAGAATTGTGAAGTATACATTGTGAAATTTGTAAAGTAAGAGCTGCTTTCTCACTGTAGCTCAGTGATAACACCAGACTTTTCACTTCCACTGTGAGATTGTTACTGTATGTAAAGGCGACTACATTTAGATGTATCTTAGAGATCTCATGTCTGTAAGAAGTTTGTCACTTTCAACTCTTTCTGGTTTCATTGAGGAGTAAGTTCTGAAAACCTCCAAGTTAGCTATGTTACCAAATTAAGCCTTTAACACTGTTGTGTTTGACAAGTTCTACTATTATTTAATATTAAGTAAAACCTATTTCTTAATTTTATACCTATCTCATTTCATCTAATCTATTTTGGAATTCAGTTTCTCCTGGACAGTTTATTATTTCTTGTTACATTATCAAAACATATACTTTTTTTCTGTTGGTCTTGATCAGAGGTTAAGAACATATACAGGAGTCATGAGTACAAATTACTCACAAATTATTTTTCTGGAACTTCAGATACGTACTGGAGTTGGGGTGAATATTTTGTTTGCTTATTTGAAAGTGGTTTCCAACTGTGTATCAAATATATTGTAACACCGTACTTGTAGAAATGGCCAAAAGAAAAAAAAGAAAGGTTCATTAATTTTAGTCATTATGGCATCTCCTGATTTCTGAGTTGTTAATCACAGTTGGGATATGCTAAATAACATTAAAGTGATAATTTTTCTCAGTGTTTGTTGGTATAGGTTTTCTTAAGCATTTTCAGTTGCGCAGGGTAAGTTTTCCATTGTATCTCAGGTGTTGAATTCTCATTTATTTTGCATTTTGAGTGTAATTTGTACAATGCAATTGTTATTAGTTACTATTGTTTTACAGTAGGGATAAATTCCACAATTAAAAGCTTAAAAACCTCTTGAGGCAGAAATCTGCAAAAACATGATTAAAGACATCTCATTTTCCAGAAAGGTTCATAAACCAAAGTCAGGATACCACTGTGGATAAGCAAGCAACAGGAAAGAACAAGAGTAGGAAAATGACTGAAACCACAGAAGAACATGATTAATTCTTATGTCCTAGACCGGATAGAGCCATAAATGCCCTTCTTGGTATAAGTGAATAGAAGTTATTCAATTGGCAGAGCTTCATTTGCACGGGGAAAAAGAAAAGAAAAAAAAAGATATATCTATATATTCTAAAATTGAATTTAGTACTGTAGCTTCTTTCACAGTAATGAATGTCACCTATTATCCTTGGTTCTTAATTTGATAGCACTGTTGACGTCTTAAAGTAACAGTAGGGGCAAAGGGAGAGAGCCCTGTAGCCCAGTGTGCTTTATGTTTAGGTACCAAATGTGAGCTGTATCTGCATGATTGAATGCACCATGAGATTTGTCTGTGAAGTAATCATTTATTATGCAAACACTAGGACTTAATTATATCAAATTTTATTAAATATGTACATGTTATTACTATTTAAAAGAACCAGTATCATTCTCAGATCTGCAAACTTCTCTCTAGCTTTGAGAGCTGCGGCAGAGCCTGTATTAATGCTAGTCTGAAAGCTGTAAGCTAATGCAGTGTCACTGTGAGTGACACAGCACCACCCTTGAAGGCAAAACTTCATCAGCTGTATTCTTTAGTTACAATACAATCAAAAAAATCTTCCACGACAATAATATATTTGTACATTGCTTATATTTCCCAACTCTGTCCAATTTGTAGGATGGAAGCAAAGAATTCTGTCATGTTTAGGATTCTCAGATGCTGAAAAAGGGAATTCGTACCAGAAACATCTGATGGTAAAGGCCCTTTAGAGGCAGAGAAGGGGGCACAGGAAGCAAAGAGAAAGACGCGTCCATCTCCTCTGCTGATTTTCAGCCAGGAGGTCTTAATATTTTTCTTGCTTAGGGTCCCGTGGCCTCAGTGAGGATAATGCTTCCTATCAGTGACCCCCCTTCCCATCACCTCTCCACTAAACTGGTAGGTCAGCTTCTTCTTGACCTTTTTGACCTCCCCTGTCTTGCCGTAGTTTCTCAAAGCCCGTGCCATCTTCTGGTAGGTCATTTTCTTGCGATTGCCCTTCTGTATTCCCCAGCGATGTGCCAATGCTTCTTTGTGTTTGGAGGAGAACTGGAAAGTACCTTTTTCTTTATCTACCCACCAGATGCTGTCCTTCATGTCTCCACTGCGAAGAAGGTCCAGAAGGAACTGATACAGACGAATCTTTTTCTTGCTGCCTGCAAGAGAGAAGAAGGGCAGTGGAACATTACTATTATTGTGTAGGGTCTGATGGAACAGGAGAATTTGCCAGTCGTGTATTTCTTCAATTTGTTGTATTTATAAGAAGAGACAGTGTTGCACCATAAAGGCATAAAGTGGATTGGTATGCCAAGAAGAAAAACTTGAGAATAAGAAATTTCAAAGACCTAACCTTTGTTATAATTTGAAAATACTTGAAAAACATTATTAGTTTGAAACCAATCTGAAACTAATTTGGACAGGCTATACAAGTACCGAGCCATCAGAGCTCAACATTCTTAAAAATCAGTTCCTTAAGCTTCTTGTCTTGTTTTTCACTTCTGTTAGAGGAAAATGGAGTAGAAATGGCAAAACCTGGGGAGAAGCCTGAATATACAAAACAAAAGGAAGAGGTAGGAGTACATGAAAAAATGGTATTTGAGATAACAGACACAACTATGGTGACAGAAGATTCAGAAGACAGGAGAGTGCAAAGGAATCAGGGAAAGTGGAGGTTTGGCAGTGGGATAAAATACTAACACAGTAGTTCAACTTTTTTATTCATTATTGTAATTTTAATGTAACAGCTGCTCAGCAAGAAGCACTCTTTTCACTGACCTGTCTCGCCATGCATGATTCCAGGCCCAGGGTCCGCGCCATCAGTCTCCCCATCTGATACCTCCAGTGGTGGGCTCTGCCTCTCAATATCCTCCTCATCAGAACTGGGCTGTGGTGGAGAGGAGTACTGTAGGCACATCCGGGGCAAATAGGAAACCTTTGAGAGAAAAGAGTAGTAGGGGGAGCAAGTAGCAACAGAGAGTAAGGGCATTCAGGAGAAAAAGTGAGATGTCAGAGAGAGTTACAGAGAAAGGGGGGGAAAGCAACAGGCATATGAGTTTGTTTAGGTTAACAGTGAATGACTTAGAGGCATTAAAAATAAATACTACGCAGCTAAAAAAACCCTCCACATAACAGTCGACACTTAATCTATATGCAAGGATGCATCTTAAAAAAAGTATTTACAAGAGAAAAGGAGAAATTATAGTGTGAAAGTACTTTCCCATATGTTATATCCTATGCAAGTGATATTGTCCTCCTTTCCCCATACCTCCTGAGTACCTTCTCTTTCTAGTTTACATACATTTCTTCTTGCTGATAATGGAGATAGCTGTATCTCTTATATATAAGAGAAGATATATATCTATATATCTATAGATAGAGAAGGTGGAAAAAGTTCTACATAATAACAGGTTTTCTAATATGCTAAGAACTTTTTTGAGTTTTGTTTTCTTTCTTTTTTCTGGTTGAAGACAATATATTCCTATAATTGGTGTCCTACCTAATATACTGATAATCATATGAATGTTTTTTAAAAATGAAAATTGAAACTCAAGCCTTCTGGATAAAAAAAAAGCTATATTGGTAATAATTGCTTTGAGTATACCTTCAGAGCTTCCAAAACACAGCCAAACTCCTGCTATATAGTGATTATGTACCAAGATAGTTGAGTTTCTGATCTCCGTTATCTATCCCCTATTTACAACCACTTTTGAGATCAACTTCCTTTCTGCTTTTTGAAGCTGCTCTTTTGGATTTGGCAAAGCTGAACAGTTTTGCCCCACCATAGCCTCTTTGTCTGTCCTTGGCTCTGTTGCTCAATTCCTTCCTCAGATTTAGTAGCTTCTGACAACACTAAATGACTGTGGGACTGCATTTATCTCTGAGGCCAGCGTTACACGTGTCTATCAACTTCTTGTCCTGAATTTCCCCCTTGAGGAGAGAAATAGGTTTACCACTGGGGATATATCATATTGGATTGTGTTCTCTTTTCCTAAGTGGCTATCTGAAAGTTCTCTGTTGATGGGGATTTCTCATCTGCAGAGCTGGCAAGCTGGCTTCTGTGCTAGGGAATGCCCTTGCCCTTACATGGAGGTCTTGTCAGAAACAGTATGGAATACACCACAGCTCTGCAAATTCTCAGTTGCAGTGTTGTTTGTTGGGGCTCATGATCAGATCCCTATAACTATTGCAGCTCCTTGATGAAGAATAAGAAATAGACTAGTCTGAGGGGCAGGGAGTAAGAACCCAATTTCTAAATTAAAAAAAAAAATAAAAAAATCCTCAAATATAGCAGGAAATAAAATGTGGTTCTCATGAAATGAGCCAGATTGCTAACCATGGGAGGTGAGCTGCTTTTGAATTGCTCTTCCTTCCCTGCATCAAGACACGACATTTTTAGCGTGATTCCCTCTCTACAGATTTAGATTCTGAGGCACAGAGTGGGTGTTCATTTCATGAGTCATACCACCCACCCGATGTCAGGCTTGGCCAAGTGGTGCTTTTCAGATGAGTTTTGCACCAGTTTAAAATGTCCCAATAAGGAGTGTGCAAAGTGCTGGTTTCAAGGCAGAGCAGCTGGCGGTTAATGAGTTGGCAGATTGGTTGGAGCTGAACACAGCAGGAAGGCCAGGATTGGGTAAGAGTGTGTGTAAGTTTCCTGTCAGATCCCCAAGAGCGAAACTTTAGCCCTCACCACAGAGTCACCTTCAGCTTTTTTACAGTTAAAAGAGCTATAGCCTCAGTGGTAGCAAGGAAAGAAGAAACAATGTCAAGGGGGAAGGGGGAATGAGAAGGGGGGGTGGTGTTTTAGAACGGAGGAAGAAGAACCTGCTGCCTCTGTAAAGACAAAGGCTATGGAAATCTAGAGTGCACTGGGGACCAGTTTCTGCTGGAGCTGGAATGGGAAAGTGGGAACACGCTATGGAAGATGAACAGCATCTCACAAGGAAAGGAAGGTGCAGAGACTAACCTGAGCACTAAACAAAATTTCCCCATGCTGTCTCTACTTTTCCTTTCTGCTGTACTTTTCTTACGCCCCGTTCAGCAGTGCCTCAGTGTAGGTCCCTAGTGTGCTACACAGAGTTGCAGAGGACTTGCTATTTTGTTTGGAAGAGCCAACTTGTTAATACAAATCTGGAGAGAGAAAACTTCTAGCTGCTTTCTGTATTCTGATACCTTCTCAGAATCTGTGGCATCCAGTTGTAGTTTTCCTCCTTCTAAAGCTTTTCACATTTTTCACAGAATTGTAGAATTATAGACTCCTTAGAGTTGGAAGGGACCTTTAAAGGTCATCTAGTCCAGCTCCCCTGCAATGAACAGGTTGCTCAGGGCTTGATCCACCCTCACCTTGAAAGTCTCCAGGAATGGGGTATCAACCACATCTCTAGGCAACCTGTTCCAGTTCCTGACCACCCTCGCTATAAAAGATTTTTCCTTATTTTCCATCCATTCCTTTCACTCTGCCTTCAGAATAAATATTCCTTTCTTCATTTTCTATTTGATGAGACCATCTGTTTGAAGGTACTGTTGCCCAAAGATTGTTTGTGCTTTGAATTTGATTTGACAAAATAATATTCAATCAACTGAAGATCGGAGAAATACAAGGTCTGTTCTGAAAGTAATGCTTTCTATTTTTTTTTATGTTGGCCCACAACCTCAGAGGTGGATGTTGGTGGTATGGCAGCAGCAGAGGATCCGATTACAAAATGGTGTCTGACATGGAAGTGTGTCTGAAACAAAGATGTGTCACTGAATTCCTCTGTGTGCAAAAAATGGCACTAATTGACCTTCACTGATGCTTGCTGAGTGTTTATGCAGATCAAGCAGTGAATGTGAACATAGCGAGGCAGTAAATGGTGTATTTCAGCACTGGAGACAGCAACATTGAAGGGCAACATTTTTCTAGCAATGATGCAGTCATAGGAGCTGTTAAACAATGGGTCACCTCTGCCAATGCATATTTTTATGAGCACAGCATGCAGGCTCTTCTTCATCGCTGGTGAAAATGCATAGTTAATGGTGGTGACTATGTTGAAAAACAGCGTTTTTGTAGCTGAGAATTTGGTCTATTGAATAGTGATATTGTAATTTCTGTGGAAATAAATAGGAGGCATTACTATCAGAAAGATCTAGGTTTCTTTGCATGTTTTTCCTTAATTTGCAAAGTGTAATTCTGCACGACAGCCAGGGGTGCAGTTAGTTAAGTGAAAAATTCAGCTGAGGAATAAATTTTCCTTCCTGTTTCAATTTCCTTAGAAATGCCTTGAATAGCAAAGTGTTGCCTAGAACTGCGGCTGAGATGCACTGAAGTCTGAACTTCAGAGCATGTTGAGCACCACCTGCGTGAGCAACTATAGGTTAAAGTTAAAAACAAACCAACAAAACAAAGATTCCCAGCTGGTTAGGAAGAGGAGGGTAGTGATGGGCATCTATTAGTGTCTTCTCTCCCTTGGGAGAGAGGGAACACAGTGCAGCAAAATTAATTCTCTGACAGTACTCCTGAGACAAAAGATGACAACTGAGAAAAATGAAAGTGGGTTAAACAGAAGTACCCTCTCTTATTTTTTGGTGGTGTTTCCAAAGACATTTGTAACATAGTCAATTTTTATTCTTTGCCTTTGGTTGGATGTAATGGTTGTTACATGCTAGCTCTTGCACTGAGCAACTGGAAGAACTAGATGATTCCCATAGGCTGATGTTTTATTATTTGTCCTAATTATATATATATATATAATATTATATATTTGCAGCTACATCTTATATTCAGTTCCTGATTTTTTTTTTTTCTCAGTGATAGGTAAGAAGTTTGATGGTTTTCAGTAGGTCAGTTTCCTGTTGATCATGTTAACTTACTCAATTTTTAAGTTGTTTATAATTTATACGGCATTTACATGCAATTTCAGTTTGAATGCTAAAAAAAACCACCCTAAAATAACAATTGTGTGCATCCAGTTTCTCTCACAAAACCTCAGCATTGGCACCGTTACATGCAGAAGGGTAATCGGCAAACAGTTCTTTCTCTGGTCCCGTCCCTAGACTGTCTTGTATTGAGCACATTGTGTCTGCAGTTTGTCTGCCCTGGGAAACTCCTTGGTACAAGATAACACAGCTTTCTGCTTGCTACCAGTAATGACATGGAGCATATTCTTGTTGGATCAGGAATTAAAAGTGGTCTCCATACCCACTTTGCTCTAATATCTTTGCAATACCACGGACCTCATTAAAATTTCAGCTTTAGTGAGCATGCACTGGCACTTGGGTGACTGATGTATTTTGGAGAACATTTTTTTTTTTTTTTTGCAAGAGGTGAGAAAGTGTGTTTTGGCTCATGATTTAGCTACATTCAGATAAAAACAGAGAGAAGAATTCTTTGAGAGTAGCTCTGCTGAGAAGGACTTAGGGGCCCTCGCTGATGAAAAACTTAACATGAGACAGCAGTGCACGCTTGCAGTCTGGAAGGCCAATGGTATCCTGGGTTCCATCAGAAGATGGGTGGCCAGCAGGGTCAGGGAGGTGATTGTCCCCCTCTACTCTGCCCACATGAGGCCCCAGCTGGAGTACTGTGTCCAAGTTTGGGGCCTCCAGTGCAGGAAAGATGTGGAGCTTTTGGAGAGGGTCCAGAGGAGGGCCATGATGATCCATGGGCTGAAGCATCTCTCCTGTGAAGACAGGCTGAAGGAACTGGGGTTGTTCAGCCTGGAAAAGAGAAGGCTGCAGGGAGACCTCATTGCGGCCTTCCAATATTTAAAGGGAATTTATAAATGAGATAAATAAACTTTTTACAGGGATAGATAGTGATAGGATAAGGGGAAAGCATTTTAAACTAAAGGGAGATTTAGATTAAATATAGGAAAGTTTTTAACTGAGAGAGCATTGAAGTGCTGGAACAGGTTGCCCAGGGAGGTTATGGATACCCCAGCCCTGGAGGTGTTTGTGGCCAGGTTGGATGGGGCCCCGGGCAATCTGATCTTGTATCTGATTTAGGGCCCTCCTGTGGTGGGGGTTTGGAACTTGACCCTTGAAGTCCCTTCCAACCCAAGCCTCTTTATGATTCTATGATTCTGTGAAAACACAAGTAGGCTGGCCACAGTATAAAATCACCAATGACTTGTCTTTACTTGGATTTCTTGCAGCAGGTCATATAAATTTGCAGGGGTCACTTGGAATTTTTAAAACATTCCTGACACTTAGGAGTTCAGAATACTGCCCAGGAGTCAAGGACAATTTTGCTATTACAGCTTTTCAGGCCCAGTTCCTCTGTAGGATTTCAGAACAGTTTATTGTCATTCCAAATTTTAAAAAAAATCTGAATTTCAGAAACCTCCACAAAGTGCAATGATCTTTTTATGCGCATTTTGAGGAATGTGGTTTCTCATCATCCGGATAAAACTAAAGTTTAAACCACATTTGTCCTGAGAATGAAGAGTTTTACATCAAGTACTTGTGCAGTAAGAATTCATATAATTCATAATCAATCTCTTTGGCATAAAATTAAGCGTTCCCTGGTGCAATCTGTTCCTTGTCCTTAACCATCACCATAATTCTGCATAAGGGTTGGTGACCATACCTGATGGTTGAGTCCAATATGTGTGGTTGGGATTGCAGAATCCAGGACATGCATTTGTTCAATCTCCATGTGCCTGTAGAGCTGCTGCAGCTGGGGAGGCTGTACACTCTGCAGTTCTGTAAAGTGGTTATCTCCAAAGGTCTCAAACTCACTGTGCATGTGGTGTGGATGATACTCCCAGTAATGATCTAAAGAAAATAACAGTTTGTCTGTCGTTACAAAAGTAAGAAACATGGCATTTATGTGCCTTTCACTGGTTTCTACTTCTGCCACTCTCCTTTCTGCCTACTCCATGCCATTCCTGTAGACCTGTCTTTCCTTGCTGACAATTTCTATAGATTTCTGTAAAGTTTCTTTTCCTAATCTCCAAAACATGTATGGCTGGAAAGCAGTACTTATGCCTCTTTATATAGGAAAGTAATCTTAGAAAGAGAGATGGATTTTGGTGAGAATGTAGCACAAGATGCGAAAGATATTAATGCTGGCACCTGTCTTAGGAAGAGACTGTAACAATTCTACCTTTTCATTCTCAAAAAATATCCCAATTTACATATTGTCAGATTGTAGTTACAATTTTCCTCATGTCATGGAAACAAGCAGATGAAAATTCTTTGTTTTCATCAACCAGCAAAAAATTGCAGGAGTGCTACACACAAGGCACAGGACTTAGCAACACATTTCTGTAATCTGTTTCTTAATTTATTCACTTTTGAGATCAAATTAATTTCCATGCAATTCTCAGTTTTAGATCACTGTTCAATATAAGCTCTCAAAAATTTTCATAATTTTTTTGGCTGCTCCAAATTGAAAACTGCTAGAGGAAATTTGTATCATTCCGTGCCATATTTCTCTCCTACATGCAGACATAATTATGTACATATTTATGTGTACTCTTGTTTAAAATCAAAGTCATCATGTCCTCTGCTCTCACTAAGCTTGGATCTAGCCTTCCAGACTGTAACTTTTCATACACTGCTCTATGCAACACCAGAATTTCTTCATAATTTCATGTAACTCTTACAGTTCATATCTTACTGTTCCAAGTTTTCTTCTTCTGTATTATTATAAATAATTTCTTCCCTACCCTTCACACGTTTTTAAGTCGTTGATATGTACTCTTACAGTCTACTCCTAATAATCACTTTGCCCAGCTGCATGTGTTTAGTGCTCAGTCTTTCAGTAAAAATCAGTATATTCATCTCCCTAATTATACCTGTGCATTTTTCTAAATTCTCTCCCAGCTCTTGGCAATGTTCTGAATGTGACGAGCAGAATTAAATATGTTGTTCCAAGTGTAGTTGTACTGAAGCGATAAAGAGAAGAGCAATTGCTTCATTCTGCAATATGGTGTTATTGTGTATGACATTATCTAACGTGCTAGGAATATTGTTTTTTCAATATCAATTTTGTTCTTTTTCTCAGCTTTGAACTCCTCATCCTTCCCCATTTCCATTTCAAGCAATTAAGTCTAGCCTCACTGGGGATCCGAAAATGGGGATAGTGACTTTGAACATGGCTTCCTTAAGAGGGAGCCCAGTGATATGTTTGTTACAAACATAACTGTACTTGGTAACTTGTAGCTTGTAGCTGCCTGTATGGTTCAGGTCTGTATTTGGAAGCTCTAGCAGACCATTTACTATGCTAGTGATTACTTTCTTTGTCCTTCCTGCTTTTTGAATTGTGGGTGAACCATGGACAAACCAAACTTCATGTTTAAGGGATGGAAATTTGCTCATAAAAGTACTTGGGGAGCTGCTGTATTACTTCGTAATTTCTTTGTTTTGTTGTATAGTATAGTGCTTTCCATGGGCTAAACATGATTTTCTAGCCCAAAGTTTTAATGCGTAATTATAAAATAGCAACTTTTCCTAGCTTAGTGTTAGAGACCAATTTTATTTTCTCTTGTAGAAGGGATTTTATGGATGCAGCATACCCAGGTACTTGTTACATTCAAATCTGTTCAGGGAATACCAAAGCACGTGAGTATGACTGCACAGATTATATACCTGTCCTTGCAGGAGGCTTTGGACACTTTCAATCTGAAACTTACTTGTTTATTTGGAAGTCTGAGCCATACTAACTCATGCTTTTACTTGGTTAATTTACTGAAGAGTTCTTTACTTATAGTCAACCACGGAGACTGATCTACCACTAGCAACCCATATGATAACTTGTAGTGAATTGTGAATATATTGCATGGTTAGTCTATGTTTGTGTTTCTTAGAGTGATTTCACTCTGCTCCTTGTGCAGAAGCTCCTCTGTCAGCTGTCAGTGTATCTTCTCAAAGATCCTTTGAATTTGAATATCTACTGCAGCAAAAGAGGTCAGTTAATAATAAGGATGACAAAGCCTAGACAAAACTCTATCAGGACGTCAACAGTACATCTTCAGCTGTCTGACTTGTAGTAGCTATGGTAGTAAGCAGTCAAGACAGTATATTTCTAACATGCATTGCCATGAGTACTTGTGCATACTCCAGGTAATCTACCTCTGATTCTTCTTAAATGTTTTTATTAGCAATGACATTTTTGTCCTTACAGGTACTTCTTAATCTGCTGAAGCTTATCATAAGCTTATAACAAGGTTCATACTGTCTCCAGAATTGTTCTATACTCTTTTGTAGTTTAAAAAAAATATATATATATATATATCAGTAGAACATTATTTATGCATGTTCATGTTAATTGCTCATTACTGAATTCTTTTTTATATTGAATTATGTGCTGTTGTAAAAAATACAATTATGAGGTTATCAGTGACCACATAATACTAAAATGTTACAAAATAAATCTGCCAGAAATTACTTCAGCATATGAAAATTGTGGCAGGAGAAAAATCTCTGTATCTTTCTTAGTTATTGATAGTTTCACAGCGATACTCAGGAAAAAGATACTGTTTTAATTGCATTGAAAATGAAATTCCAAATTCTGTGTTCAGACTCCTCCGCAATTAACCTTCTTGGCTGAGCTATTGCACATTAATAAAATAAAAAATAAATTAATACATAAAAAAATCTAAGTATCTCCATCTGCAGGTATTAAGAGTTGTTTCTTTCCATGTTATTGTTCCTGTTATTTTAATGATGCATAGTAATTCTTTTCAACAACAACAAAAAATTTTAAGTGGAGAGAAGAAAAAATAAAGGAGAAAAAGATTCTAGAAATGGAAAGTGTCTATTATTTTGGTCAAGGAAAATGTCATTAAAAGCCAAGCAATAGCTACACAATGGAGTCATTGTGAGAAATTTCTTATGAAGTGAAAGAGGATGTGAAAAAAATTCTCTCTTATAGAGGCATGGAGATGGTGTTTGTTTTGGTGTTGCATGTAGTGAGAGGTTAGAGGAAGGACAGTCATGAGCTCTAAACTCCCTCTAATGGCACAAGGGATGTTAGACTGTTGGGAAGCAATAGCAGACCTAAAAACATTGTGCTGCTATTCGCCATGGAAATAGATTCTTAATCTCAAAATGAGAAACGTAACTGTAGTTTCTTGGTCATCCTTTGCCCAACGTAGATTGCTTTGCTCCTGTTTTAACAGATACCATCAGATCCAGAAGCTAAAATATGAAATAGGCTTAGGAGAAGTGTTTTTTATAGAATAACAAGATAAATTTTCATCATGCAGTGCAAAACTGTGCAAGAAATTCCTGAGCCAGCTCTTGAACAGGAAATGCAACAGCTCTGTCAGCACAGCACTTTGCCTCATCTAAGATGATGACTCTTGACATGTCTGTGCTTATGAGTGTGAGCTAGTGGCTGAGTGGTTCTGCCCTGTGCTGCACAGACACTAAATGTGGCAGAGGATTTCTTACACACTACCACAGTGTACGGCTTAGATGTTCCCATTGTGTTTCACTTGTCTGAAGAAACAAACCCAGAAAAAAACCCATAAGGAAATGAGAAAAATATTGAAGGACACTGCAAAATATCTACACTACAGGACTGCTCCACGTTGAGTGAAATCCCATATTCCTGAACAGTGTAGCAGTATTATCTCTAATAACAGGATCATATAAACTCTCACTTTAAATCTGACAAACTTCATTATTTTTATAATATTAAATGTTTGAAAATCCCTAATTCAGACCCAGGAAGTCATGAGAATGTCTTTAAAAATGTGAGGGGATTTTTAAATGGAGTTTGGAGTTCTTTCTATTTTCCATATAGTATTTATGGCTAAGGCTCATGTTTGGACTTTCCTCCGCTTCTACACTGGCTAAAATCCTAACAAAATCAAATTAGAGTTTCCTATATGATCACATTACTCCAGGAGGTGGGAAGAAAATAAAATTCCAGCCCCCAAAAACTGTTAAGTTTCACTGACGCTATCAACAAAATGAGCAATGGTCAACATTCAGCTTCAAACAACAGGTGATTTTTATCAAACCAAAGCTGTTTAGTAATAAATTAGAGACAAATGCAATCACTAAGATTGCATTAGTGTTACAAAATATGCTATATTACATTTACAGACTTACTACTGTACAGTCTCAGGACAGAGTGATTGTCTAATACATGATCACTCAAAGTAATTTCTGTCCTTTGTGAAGGTAGGTGTATTTACAAAGTAATTAAACTATAGTATGCAAAATAAATTCAAACAGTGCATGTTATGATCCAACATATGGGTTTTCTATGATGTGTTTTCGGATGTTAGATTGAGTGTTCACTTATGGCAGTGATCCTTTATGTATTAAAATTAGTCATACACTGCTGTGCTGTGTGCATTATGCTACCTACTCAAGTAGACATACAGTAAGGGTTGTCTTTAGCATTGTCTTTCAGAAAAGTGTCAGCAATGCATGCAGCACAGATTTACAGTATAACCCACTGCCATATCTCCTTCACAAAAATAATTTGTTACCAGTGAGAGGGAGAGAGAGTCTGATGCTTGAGCAAGACTTTCTATTTAGTTTCTATTTTGTTAGCAGTCCTATATCAGCACAGTCAGGATAATTATTCAGTTTTGTAGCATCTATTAGTATCTGGCACTAGACCTGGAGGCATTCAAGGCCAGGCTGGATGTGGCTCTGGGCAACCTGGTCTAATGGTTGGTGACTGCCTATGGCAGGGGAGGTGAAACTAGCTGATCTTTGAGGTCCTTTTCAGCCCAGGCCATTCTACAATTCTATAAAATCTGTATTGTATATATTCTTAGTGATCTCACTGTACCCAAAGCTGAACTCCTCCTCCACAATTCTGTCCTATTTCTTATTTTTTTCAATCTATTCATGTTCTTACCTCTTTTACTTCACCATTATCGCTGCAGCACCTTATTTATTCATTTTCCCCATAATTTGTCAGCCATTGCACTTTTATCCACATTGTTCTGAGCATTTAGTAGTTGGTAACGTCCCTGCACTTCCACATAGCTTTTCTCATGATCCACTACTTGGCTTTTCACTTTGCATATTTCACTCCCTCTGGATGCATTGTTGTTCATTGCTCTCTTAGATGGTGACTAATTCAGGAGAGCATTTGACATGTATTTGGATATAACCAACTACATTGCAAATCCTGTCATAAATAAAAATTGGAATGAAATGTTCAGGCTGGGATAAAGTTGCCTCTTGGTGTTGGTATTTTGGAGTCTTTTCAAAACGTATGGGTACTACTTGGGCCATAACCCACAAAGGTGACATTGTGTTTTTGTAGTATTTATTGTGACAAGTAAAATCATGTTAATGATCTGAACAGTGTAGCTTAGGAACAGCCTTCCAGAAGAAAAATTGAGCAGTAAACAGGTGGGATGATAAGACTATGAAAGATGAAGAGGTGTTGCTGCTTTATGTAACCTATATTTAATGAGAGAAATGTCCTTTCCCAGTGCTTTTTCCTACATGGCATATTTTATATTTATTGTTTAATTATCATAATTGCCTTTTGAGATAATAAATGTTATGCTCATTTTATGGATGTGTAAATAGTCTTGGTTTGTACTGTAAAAACCCTGAATTTCCATGTGGAAATTCCTAGGTTTGATGAACGTTACTTCACAGAGGCCACGAGATAACTTATAAAAAAATGAAGTAATTCTTTGTCTCTAGGCCTTAAGAATATTGTTTGTCTTTCCTGAATACAATATAGAGAACAAATTTAGGTAGGAATCTTTTTCAGTTTAATGCTCTATTCTGTAACTTGCTATGCTGTGAAATTGTCAGATGCCTTAAATTATGTAGTGATGGATGTAGTTGCTATATAAATAAGAGTCTCTTAGGGAAATTCCAGGTTCTGAAGGGACTGCCACAAGTGATACAGAAAAACGGTGCTTTTCCTTCTTGAGTCAATATTGACCCTGATATTTCCAGGGTGGTGTTGTCAGACCATTGTACTGTGCAGTAGACAAAAGTCACAAAGCAGGACTCTCCCCTCTGCATTGATTTACAGTCCAGTCCTCACAAGATTTGAAAATATGGAAGATACCAAAGCTCTGAAATTGTGTGTAATAATAACGACAATTTATTTCACTTTTAGCTAGGTTTATGTGCAAACAGCAACAAGGAAGCTTTACATAGATTTAGAGAGAGGAAGTACTTGGTTGTACTGGAGGAAGAGTGAAAGTTGAAGCTAGGTGTGGCGGCATGCGAAAGAGATCAAAAGAAAGAGAAATATATGGAGCTAGAAAAAGCCAAATGCTGGAGAAACAGAATTAGAATAAAGGCATGGAGTATTGAAGACCTAATTCAAAAAGGAATTGGAGATGGGAGTACAAGAAGTGTAGTATACTATTGCAAATTCATGTCCTCTGACTTCTGAAACAAGCAGAGTGGTTTTGATTTGCAGAGGAAATTAAAAATGCCCTGAAGATAATGAAAATGGAGATCAAGAGGTCCCACTTTCCTGGCAATACACTGAATGTCCTGGAAGCACCTTGCATCATTTAGTGCTTTTTAAATTCTCTTTCAGAGAAATCAGTGTTGCGATTGCTGGGTTGGAACAGTATTGTTAAGCAGAAGAGGTTAAGGAGAACAGCATACTGCTAATTTCTGAGCTAATATTATCTCCCTGTAACGTTATAGATTGCAGCAGCTTGTTTGTTCTTTTCCTGAATGTCCTAAAATCTTTTTCCAGTGGTATACCATGAGACCTTATGTTCCAAGGAGATATTTTTTAACTTACCACCATGACTCTCTCCATCGCTGTTGAGATATTGGTAATAGTCATGGGGCTGTCGGTAGAGGTCTGACTCATAGGACACCATATCTTCAGAGGGCTGTAAAGCGAAAAGGAATTTTTAGAACTATAAGCTTAGACAAATTCCTTCAAAATTATAAATTATTCATATCTGTTAGTGAAGAGAAGATGCCAACACATTTTATATTGCCTAGAGAGGGAAGGGGGAGGCTTCAAGTTCTTACTAAAGCAGCAGGAGTAAAATGCTTGACACCAAATAATGTTCTGAAAAAAAAAAAAAAAAAAAAAAAAAAGAAAGAAATCCGTATCCTTAGATGTGGTGAGAGTATTCTGCTGTCTGTATAACATAACTTGTTATGTGGTATTGCACAAGTTCTTTATAACCCATCCTTGAACCTCTATCCAGCTACCTTGGACAGGAGGCCCAAGCTAAGATACCACCACACCAGCCCAGCAGAGAAACATTCTCTTCATACTAACAGATGCTTTTTCTTCTTCCTCCTATACACAACAGAGAAAGAAGAAATTTGCCTTGCCTGAGCATGTTATTCTGGGTCTTTCTAAGCAGGTCTTACTAAATTGTGACAATTTGTAGGGGTAATGATGTCAATGGAGAGCAGGAAAAGAAATTTTAGCAAGGCAGTGACCAGCTAAGTTCATGACAATAATTTCTTCCAATCTGAAAAAAGTCCTGTGATCTCAGCAGCAATGTAGAAATGAAAAACCTTCTTGCAACTTGATCTGAAATGAGATTATTTCTGAGAGGTACTAATAGAACCATTTTTCTTCTGTTAATGCCTTTAGCATAACAAACTTTAAAGAATAGGACAAATTTAAAATAATACAATAACTGATAGAAAAACGTGCATATGTTTATATGCTCATATATTCACCAGTCTTTTGCAAGCTTAGGCTATGGTGACAGCATGCGAGAAATGCAGGCGAGGCTTCTCTTTTTATTACTCCTTTAGATTCTCATGAACAAGAACCCTATGGCATTAGTTGCCATTACGATCCAGATGGAGGTGGTAGATAAGCAGCTGACAAAAGAAAAGGATTTGTTTCTGGATATAACTAGATCAGAGTTGTTATTGCTCATTAATTCTTGTCTTTAATTCTTCTATTTGTCAGTTCATTATGTTGGAAATATAGTATTAAAAATTTGTCCATTTTCTAAGAATTTAATTTATATGATGACACTGAAGAAAGCAGATCAAGAAAAAGATGGACTTATTCCCAGAAGAGTAAGATGTTAGAACACAAAAGGTTAGAAAATAATTTTAGAAAGTAATTTGGACCTCCATATATTCTTAATGGCAGCTGCATGTTTTATCAGTTTATTGTATTAGAATCTGGCAGCAAAATTGCTTAAAACATCATGACTTCCACAATATACACACTGCTTGGTCATCAGACCCATGGAATGCTCAAAGCCTCAGGAGCGAATCCATTGCCTGTCTGTCAGCTCCCCATATAACCTATGATGGTAAATAGCTGTTCTGAGAAAATCTGGAGAAAATTATAACTTACAGTAGACAATGTAAGAAAATACATTGGAAATAGACAGTAAGGGAATACTAAAGAAAGGGAGTAAATTATCATTTACTAGTACCACAGCAGGGATACCACTGAAGAGACTCCTCTTATTTCTGGTCTCTAGAAATGATAGGTCCAGTTTCCTTTTCCAAATCAATGTGATTCCAACAAAATTTCCCTTTGACTAGAAGAGATTTAATGAAGAGGGTAACCCACTTTTGGATTTCAGAGGGGTGATAAAAGGAGACAAGCTGCACACACAACTCCTCTCTGATGCTTCTGTTTCTACTATTTTCTTTCTACACATTTTCTTTGTGTTCTCTCTAACCATGACTGATCATATGCATTCAGTCTTCCTGATTTCTTACACCTGTGGTGTTTTCTGATCTCTTCAAAGGAAAAGCAATGAGGCTTTGCTTTGCCTTCTTTACAGACCAGGCAGGAGGATGACATTCTGAATGGAATTTATTGTCTTCCTTATCTCTGTAAATTAATTCACCCTACTACTCCATATTCATAAATATATGCTTTCTGTTAAAACTGTGTAGCCTGAAGAATGTCACTATGAAATTCCTGCCTTTATGGGATATCAGCCTTCATACTCAGAAATGATCATTTGTCATAATTCAGAGGAAAACACAGAGAGACTTCAACATCCAAATGCAAAATGAGTATCGTTCTCCTTGGAAGAAATGGATGTTAAAAAAATCACAGAAGAGTGTATAGAAGAGTATATATACTTGTTTCCTTTCAGTTCAAATATGCTAAACTGTCTGAAATTATACATATTTTCCATATATAAATGCATCCAAAGTTGTAACTCCAACAGTAAACAAATTTCCAAAGAAATCAGTGTATAGTCAGTTAAGCTTTATTTGCTACATATGAAGTTCCTACTCCTACAAAACAAAAACTTTACCAGTCATGCTTTTACAGGCCAAAGAGCAGTCCAAAAAAAGATAAACGACAAAAATTCAAAAGTTTTAGGCATGGAAAAGAATAATTGACTTGCCTAGTTGCATTCTTCCTTAGCTGTCTCTTCTTCCCTAAGATTTTCCAAACTCTTGTATTTCAGTCTAATATATACTTTATCAGCCAATGGTTTCTTTGAAATGTTTTTTTTGAAAGCTGAGAATGAAGTACTTCTACTAATGAAAAGCTTGTTTTACAAGTTCAGATGTATACAGTGACCAGAGCTAAAGGAAGGTGTGTTAAATAGACTCTTAAAAAAACCATTTCCCTTGTCGTTACAGTTCTCATCAAGTGCACAGATGCAGATACTCAGCAACTTCAAAACAGTCTGCTTTTACACTGATCACTGTGTTTACATACTCTGTGTTGAAAGTCTGGGGCTTAGTCTCTTTAGTATGAATTGTTGGAATTTTCTTGATTTTTTTCCTGCTTACTAGTCCATTGGATAGAATATGTATATGTCTGTCCTTATTTATTTACACAACCTGGACCAATCCATCACTACAAACAATTTGAAATGGTACCATTTTCCATCTTGGTGTCTGATCGTCAAGAGTACATAAATTAATATGGGAATATTTATATTAAATACTTAAATAAGTTTGTCTGTCATATTTTCCATGATTATTTTTATCCTATGGAAATGTGGGATATTTTCCTCTATTCAACAGATAAAATATATCCAAGAACCTGTTTGAAATCTCTCTTTGAGTTTTCTTCTTTTAGGTTTTATTTAAAGCTTATTTGTCTCTAGTTGGAAAGAAGAGGTTTCACCCTGTGCTGCCTCTTGCAGTAATCATTACCCACTTTGTCCTTCTCTGGAACCTCCCCACCCACATACATATTTCACCATCTTTCTTACTAATAGCACTTCCATGACATTGAACTATTTTGTTTCACGAGACAAAAAGCAAAGAATTATTTATTTTAGAATTAACTTTTTAACTGATTTCAATGGCCATTTGTTCTATCAATTGTTTTCATGCAAAACAGTGACTGAATGATTTGTTAGCAACTCATAGCTGTGGCCTGAAGTTGATATCTCCTTTCCTGCATGCCCTGAAGTGCAGTATGTTATCTAAAACCATATTCCAACCTAAAGAAAGAGGTCAGTAAACAGTATTTTATCTGTCGCAGACTATGGTAAATGGAGAGTTGCTTTTATCTTCCTTCTTCGCTCTGGAAACTCATGGGAAAAGCCACAAAACTTATTGGAGAAAGTTTGGTTGGCATTGGTTAAGTGTGATACAGGAGACTCAACTGAATAACAATCCAAAAATTGTCCTGGTCAGATGATTTCAGGTGATCATAAATTCACTACATGCTTTCATTATTATTCCATCATAACTATTCAATGGCATGTGATACAGAAATACTCTACATGGTTTCCAACAACGTGCTGCTGAGACAAGTTTAAGGCCAAGATTAACTATATTTCCTTGAGGGGGGAAAAAAAAAAACAAAAAAAACCCCACAGTATAACTATTTTAGAAAAGATGAGTAAAAATGCTAGCAAAATCACTCATTGGGCCAGCCTTACCAGACCACTGGGGTGAAGCAGTTTTGTGGAATAGCAAGTTTGGAGAGACTTTTTTCACTCTCAAACCTCCATACAGAGCTGTGATTTCTACAGTGACCACCTTGGCCCTACTCAAATATATAAATAGAGCCCACTTGGAAGGCTTGGGTCCACTTTGCAGTACTCTGCCATACAAATATTCATAGTCTTTGCAGAAAGATGCGTACTCCTAAAATTCTGGAGTAGCGTTTTCCAAAGGAAGGTTACAAGTTTCCCAGCAGAGTTGAGAAGAAGGCAGTTGTTGACCCACCCTCAACTGAAAGGGGAGGGACAGAGGAGGAAAACGTTGCTTCACAGGAACCCCTGTGCAGAAACAGGGTAATGTCTCTTCTCAGAAAAAGTCCCAAGAGGCACAGACATTTATAGTGATGCCATGCTTGGGCTGTAATTCACCCTGCTCAAAGTGCACTTGAAACAATTCTGAAAGTACAAAACACATAAATACTCACTTTTGAATGCATTAATCACAAAAATAAGAAACAAATTACCGAGTGTTCCTTTAAGATGTAATTGTATTTTTACTGCCTGTTGTTTCATTAACCTGACTTCAGCCAGAATACTACTTGCAAAACAAGTTAGAATATAAGCGAGACTATGTTAGATTTTTACTCACAGAATCACAGAATTGCAGGAGTTGGAAAGGACCTCAAGAGATTGTTGAGTCCAATCCCCCAAATTATTCAATGTATGAACTGGAATTCAGTACTTTAAGAAAGAGTACAGGAAAGTTGGCTTTGAGTGGTTGAGTAGACAGAAAATCAACAATAATAATAAAACTGAGATGCTGCTTGCTGGGTAATTGAGGACAAGGTTTGGGTGCTTTTGAAGGGGATTTTTGGTAAGCTCACCAAGTAACATATTGAAAAATCTATAAATTATTGTTTTTCATGCTCTCAATTTCTTTTTGGGTATTTATGCTGACGTATTTACAAAAATTAAAAAAGATTTTTAGAGTCTTCTCACACTTTGGGTAAATAGTAAATTTTAAGGTCACCACTGATTAACTGTTAGAATAAACAATCTCCCAAATGTAAGAAGCAAGTATTTTTTTCAATCAATATAGATTCCAGACAGAAAAGAAATTCAGATTACCTTTTTTTTTTTTTTTTTTTTCTAGAGATCTGAAGATAAGGAAATATGGTTTAATCTTCATTAGGTGGGACAATACAAAAAGCAAACATGATGTGTGTTTTACTAAAAGGACTCTTGACTGGGCATTGTCTTTTTTTCTACATATAGCAAGTACTGTAAGTTATCTACCACATTTAAAAAAAACCCAAACAATTAAAACACTTTATCTGATATCACTCTAGGTTACACAAACTTCATAACATCTTGTTAGAGCCTCTGTCCCATTTTGCTTAGAAATGCCCCATGAAGGTTTGATTCTCAACAACAGGCTAGTGCCATTACATTTTTCATAAAACTGATCTTCAAACTCATGGTAGAATATATTACAGCAGCATAACAATGCTTCAGAGTTAAAAAATAAAAAATAAATTAAAAAAAAAAGATAGAGGTAGCCTTGTTATCATACAGAAGAATTTGTGTCTAACAGAAAATATTGAAAGGCCCAATTAAGCGCAGTGAAGTTTTTCCCTCATTCACCAGTTACTTTTTTACAAGAAGTGAATTCAAGAAAATTCAGATTCAGAAGAAGGTGAAGGTAGAGACTAAAATACCATCATTACAAAGAGCACAGAGTCCAAAAATCTACAGTAGTTAGAATCAGTATTCAGCAACTCTAAGACTGATATAAAGTTAAATACACAAATTATATAGGTCTCCAGATTATGAAAAATTACAACTCAAAGCAAGAGTTGGCCTAATATCACAAAGCTGGTACTTGTACTGACTTGCCATATGCATATCATACAGAACTAGCATGCATTTAATCTATGAAAGCAAATGGAGATCAAGATCCGATACAAGCGTAGGGAGGAAACGTTAATTTCCCATTCATTGTAATGTTGTCCCAAGATTTATCTATTGACCTGAACCCAGGACCTGAACCTTTTTCTCAGCATTACAAATGTAAGCCAAAAGAGAACATTCTCAAATATTAAAATCTGTTTTTTTTTGCTTTGTCTTTTGCTACTGAACCCAATGATCCACATTAGAAATAAAGCCCGTATACTCACAGGGGGAATGAGGGGAAATCCTTCCATTTTGCAAGCTTGCAACATTCAGCCAATTTCAGCGTGAATTTTTCTTAATTCAGTTTTCAAACATCCAGAATAACTGACTTGAAAAATCACATGAAACAAACAAAAACAATGAAGAGAAAAAAGAAAGAAAGGAAAAAAAAAGAACAAAAGTGAGATCCTTGGACTTCGTGAAGTCCCTTTGCAGTGGTGGATCTCAGGATAGGAGAATAACCCTAACGAGTTTTCATAGTTTGCCCTAATAGGTTCTGAGGTGAACTTCTTTCCAAGTCTGTAGAAGGGAAATAGCCCTTGGGTCTATCAGTGTTCTGTGACATCATCACAGCTCTTAGCCAGTTTGCATAAATCTCATTTCAGGGAGCTGTGGCGCTCTAACAGGAAGTCTGCCCCAAGCCAGATCTGCCATGGGCAGGTGCTTGCTGTATAATCAGCAACCCAGCGCCTGGGCCTGCTACCAATAAACAAGTGTATGGGTACAGTGTGCTGTGGTAAGCTTATGTACTTCCAGCTGTGGAGGAAACAAATGATGGTACTGCTCTCTGGTTTAGTGATCACAGAGCCTGACAACTTCTGTGAAGATAGTGCAGTGGCATAGACTTGATTTAATAATAGCCCTGATTGGAATTAAGAGAAAGGAAAGAAAAAAGTATGCAGTTTCAAGTACACATTCTCAAATATTTAAAAAATATATATCTTTTTTATTTTTTTAAACCAGTTTTTAATGTTAAAATATCATTTTCTACAAAACCAAACTGAACCTGTGAGACTTTCTCCATAAAATATGCTGCAGAACAAAATTATATGGAGAAAAATATTAAGTCTACTTACTTGTTTCTTGTGATTTCTTTCTAGGCACTGCAAGGATAAAATAATTTGGAAAGGAGAAAGCATTAAATGCCTCACATAATGGCTTTACTTATCATAGAAGAGTGCCTTTGATAGTGAGAACTAGAGAACAAGGTTTATAGACTGGTATCTGAACAGCCAGATGTTGAAATTGCATGTAAAAGTTTTACTTAAGTTCTATGAGCAATTTCTTTCCCCTTTCTCTACCTCAGTCAGTACTGCTTTGTCTACACTGAACACGTGCCCTTCTCGCCAAGATTCAATCAGGGGCAGGGGTGAGTGGGTCACAGTGCAGGGTGTAAAGGATGATTGCTGCAATGGGAGAACTCTTTCATTCTGCAAAATGTCTTCTTGCTTTGCAATTAGTTACTAATATCTTGGAAAAGTGAAGTTGCTTTCTCTGGGTTGTTCCCCTTCAGAGTATGCCCGTGTGCCACAGGTTCTGCTTTTGAAAGTAGCCTGTTCACCACTCACCTGGCTGTATGTATGAGGGGGAGTTTTAGCCACTTCAAACTTCCTCCCTCATACATTGGTAAAACCAGAGGCTACTCACAAGTTCCTCTCATTCCCCACCCTAAGGAACCAAATAAGCAAACCATGTTAGCAATGGGATAAGATCAAAACACAATGGGAGATTAACTCTTGATGCCCAAGTCTGAATTTCACTGGCATCAGTTGATACATAGCCATTTCATTCTTACATTGCTTGTACCATGAAATCTTGACATTAACCTTGAAATAAGCAAGTTCCTAAATGGTCAATTTCTGCTTCAGAGATTATTGTCAAGTCTCCTTTTGGATAAAAGCTTAGAAGTGATCAGATCTATCTAGGGAAACAGGAAGGTGACAACATTACAATCCTAATGATAAAGTTTAGTGAATACAGAAAAGAAAGGAGTATACAGTAGCATACATATTCATTGCATATAGGGTAATGAAAGGAATTGTGGAAACTGTATGTGCGTTTAAAAGGCTATTTAGAACAGAGAAATAAGCTATCTGATTCTCAGTATGATGAAAGATACATTAAGCAGCTACTGGAAGGTTTTAAAGTGTCATGCTTTGCACAAGGGGTTTTCTATTAAGGTAGAATGTAACTATATTTAATACACTGGAGGATATTTCAGCACTGCTAAAGGACATTTTAGCACAGGAAGTTACCTAATAAGGATACATAGTTTGCGGCAGCCTTACTGCATTTAGGGAAAGCTAGATTACCAACCTTATCAGCGTTAACAACTGTGTTTAATATATGAGCAGTCATAAACACATTAAGCTTATCTACATTAATAATCAACTTGATTATCTGTATGATGAATTAGAGCAAAACAATAGGCCAGAAAGCTTGGGGAGCAGCAGAAAGTCCAGAAGTCGAATAAACTTCCTAGGAAGGAGAGAATCTCCATAAATGGAAATGCTAAAAGTTAAAGAAAATGCTTGTTTACACTTTTATAGCTGTATGGAAACATTACCAGTGACATTCTTACTAAAATAAACAATGGACTTCCTCACTGTTGAATATAACTGACATTTTGTCCTATATTTGTCACCACAGAATACTTCTGCTCTTAATGGAAGGTCTTTTGACCTAGATCCTTGCATTTTTTCATTAGATTATTTGCATCCAGAACAACAGATTTCCATATGACTTGAACTGCTTCAAAAGAGCTTTTGTAGTAGGGTAGAGATATTTCTCCATGACAGGAATTTGGAGGACTGGAGAATAATCCTGCCTAACTGGAAGATTAAGTTTTTGAAAACACTTAATAATCATATCAAGTTGAATTATTTTTCCTGCTAGCACCACCTCAGCCTTGTGCAGCTTTTTGAAGCAGTTCCTCCTATACCACTACCCATTTAATCATCAAGCTTTTTCTAACCACAGTCTACCAAAGCAAAAGGATTTCATCTTGAAGCCACATCACAGAGAAGTCCCTTTACCTCAAACCTTGCCTGGTGCTCAGAAAGTAATTTTTCTCCCTACTGAAACCATATACATCACTCATCCTGAAGCCCTTTAATAGAAGTAGTTCTCTACATAGATTCTGATGCTGAGTTTGCTTCTAACAGTAAGACAAGATCTCTAAACAAGCAAATCCCTTCTATCATCCATATTCTTCCCAGAGGTGTATTTTCCATTGAACTTACTGTGTCTAGAGGTGACGTAGCTTTTTTTCCTTGCTATATGGGCATCCCCTCCTAGAACTGATGCAGTTTTTAGTGCCAAAAAAGTGCTTTTGACAGTCCAGCTTTCATGAATGCTTGTATATAACTGTACGAAGACTTTTCCAGTGGGAAATGTCATAAAAATGTCATGAAAATATCACAATCTTAAGTAACTTCACAATATTGGCAAAAAATTTCACATGTAGAATGGACTAAATCCAAATCAGAATGAAGATAATCATCTTCTTTGAAAGAAAGAGGAATCATTTGGGTGTGTATTAATTCAAAAGATTCACTTTTCTTGGAACCATATTACAGCACACAATCATTTGAAATATTGAAAAGCATTTCATTTATCTTATTATTAGTAACTTTTAAACTGTCCATAAAGCAGAATTCAGCAAGGTAGAAAATATCCAATTCATAATTCAAGATCTGCTTACAACTCAGCTATATTTGATTTCTTACTGTGTATGACTTTGTTTTGACTTTAAGGCACATTCAAACAGATTAAAGATTTGATATTAGCGTTTAACTGTTTTCTTCATTTACAGGCAGCAGATTTTCAATTCACATTCCTACTCATTTATAATCTGGACACTTCTGTATGAATTCAAGGAATTAACATGGAAGAGTGCTTTAATGCCATCTAATCTTGAAGTCTGTGTTCCAGATTCAGATTGCATTAGTAAGATGCAAGCACTTATGTTTAATATCCCCTCATAGAGTTATGTCTTGAAACTAATGCCCAATATCTCATTTCCATGTACATTCATCTGTCAGTTTCCCTGAGATGTTCCTTTCAAATCAGATATTTTAATAGTAAAAATTAAACTATAAAGATGAGTTGCAATATGATTCAACAGGCCTTACCTGTAGAGACAGAAAAAAACACATTTTAGAACTGCAGTTATAATAAGTCACTGATCTAGACCCACCACTGGTATTCTATTCCTGGGTCCATAGGGACCCTCTTCAGCTGTGGCAGAGATATCTTTGCTTTGGGAACTTTGATTTGGATATTTAGGTAATTGTTTAGTTCTGTTTTGAGAGTGCAGCTGTATCTATGAATTTGTCATTTTGCACTTGCATCTTATTGGGTTTGTATCAATTATTCATCTCCCAGAAATCAAAAAAGAAAAGCACTATTCACAAATAACCAACTCTTTAGGTAGATTCTGGGTTACAGCTGGGGTTCCTGTTCTCTGCCACCACTTTCATAAGGACTCTGTGTTTGGAATTTTGTTTAAACAGAAAAATTGAAGCATGTAAAGCCAATACTCCGTGTACATCCTCCCAGGAGACATTTGGCTTTATAGGAGGTGGAGCATATGTGCAAACCCCATGCTGCAGCTTTATGTGTATATGACTAGGACAGGTCTGTACAATTTGTGTATAGCAGACTCTGTAGCATATTATCTGCAGTGACTTTTTTCTTACAGAAGTAGTAACTCCCTCCTTTTATTCCCCCTGATTCAACTACTGGTCTTTTAACTTGAATTTTTTTTTTTTTAATTTAATGCAAACAATTTTCTGTACTTCCAGTTCAGTATTTAACTGTACTGAACTGTGTTTAACTCTTCTCCTTGTTGTGCCAGAAGTATAATGTAAAAATAGGAATTGAACAAAGACTAGGGAGGTCCAGATTTGTGAAGAGTCTTAAAAGGACTTCAAAACTTTTTTTTTTTTTTTTTTTTAATGTGGTAATTCAGACAAATTTAGTGTAAAATGAAATTAAAAAAAAAAAAAAGCACATTTGATCAGTATTTTGATTCCCCCTTCTGCTGAAAGAAGAAGAAAAAATGGAAAATGAAAAAATTCATCTGAAGCTAGAAAGTCCAGAGAGAACAGGCTGCCACAGTTCAAACCACTGATGGATGAGAGTGTATGTAATGAAAGGAAAGTAAAGAAGCTTACAGGTGTCCTGCAAGAGGAAGCTGCACATCCTTGATAGAACCTGCTTGTTTATATTGGCATAGTGTCAACAATAGACAACATAGAGACAAGACCCAAATTATAGTGAGAGTAAAAATACCTGTGCTAGAAGAAGGAGGTTGAAGAAAAGCAAAAATAGAGAGGAATTTGTTTTGACCTTTGTTTGTTTTAGTGGAAGCATTGTAGCATTTTAAGGAATGTTACAGAAGTACATGCCAACAGGTATAGACACATTTCAGAAAATTAACCTGTTTTCCCCTTTTAGGAGAAGAAACCTCCATAGATCACATCAAATTAACAGTGTGGAGAGTTTAAGGCTGCATAGGTAGGAAGATGTCATTTCAGAGCAAGACATGCATTATAGA